GTTGTACAGAAGTCCGAGGAGTACAATTTGCCACTATGACTGACGTATGTGGACTATGAGAAAGCCTTTGATTCCGTCGAAATTTGGGCGGTGCTTCAGCGATGCCAAGTTGCGTCGGTATATCGAAGTGCTGAAGTGCTTGTACAGTTGGGCTACGATAGCTATCCGAGTACAGAATCAGAGTGCGAAACCTAACCAATTTCAGAGAGGTGTAAGACAGGGAGACGTTATATCCTCGAAACTCTTCACCGCTGCATTGGAAGACGTTTTCAAGCTTCTGAACTGGAAAGGATACGGTATTAACATCAATGGCGAGTACATCACTCACCTTCGATTTGCCGACGATATAGTCCTTATGGCAGAATCGCTCATCGGAGGATCTAAGCACCATGCTCAATGACCTCAATAGTGTCTCCCAGTGGATATATCTTAAGATGAACATGGACAAAACAAAAATCATGTTTAACGTCCATGTCGCACCTATGCCGGTAGTTGTTGGGAGCACTAAGCTCGAAGTTGTTGACGAGTATGTTTACCTGGGACAAATAGTCCGACTAGGTAATTCCAACTGCGACCGAGAGGTCATACGACGGATTCAACTCGGCTGGGCAGCGTTCGGGAAACTACGACACATCTTCTCGTAAGACATTCCTCAAAACCTTAAAACGAAATTATACAACCAGTGCGTGTTGCCAGTGATGTTTTACGGATCTGAGACGTGGTCCTTCACTGCTGGCCGTATGGGGAAGCTCAAGGTCGCTCAGCGAGCTATGGATAGGGATTCCGCAGTAGAACCAGAGTGACCGACATAGACCAACGGATTAGTAAGCTGAAGCGGCAGAGCGCCGGCCATATAGCTCGAAGAACCGACAACCGATGGGGAAGAAATGTTCTTGAGTGGCAGCCTCGTACCGGTGGGCGAAGTGTAGAGCGACCCCCCACGAGATGGAGTGATGACCTGGTAAGACATGCATGAAGTCGATGGATGCAGGTGGCTCAGGACCGTGCTTTGTGGCATTCCTTGGGGGAGGCCTATGTTCAGCAGTGGACTTATGAAAGGCTGTAATGATGATGATGAATAAAAGATAAAGTAAAGCATATAATATATACATAAACATACATATATAAGAGTATATAAACAAACTTACATATCTAACCAAAATACAAATTTCCTCAAACAATAATATAAAGCTGATAAATACAATAAATACATAATCACATAATTATCCTAACGGTCTCCGAACGATTGAGACAAGGAATGTTCTTTATGTAATCGCTTAAAGATTACAGTAGATTATGCTTCGCGTATATGCAAAGGCATTCCAGAGCTTAATAGGCTCGACAGTGAAATATTTATTAAAAAACGATGTTTTGTGAGTTGGTACCCTTAAAACGAATTTTCTAGAAGAGCTTAGAGGATCCCCCGGAATCCCCACAAAATTAAACTTCTCTTTTAGATAGGGAGGAACAGAAGGATGAAATAATTCACAGTACAGAATAGAAAGAATATGCATTTTCCGGCGAAGTCGGATAGGTAACCACTTGAGACGTGAGCGAAATTGGGAAATATGGTCATATTTGCGCAATCCAAATATAAACCGAATACTAGTATTTTGAACTCTCTCAAGCTTATTCAGCTGGTCCTCAGTTATGTCTATATAGCTTGCGTCAGCATAGTCGAGGATTGGAAGGAGAAGAGACTGTGCAAGCATAATTTTTGTAGGAATGAGAAGAAATGATCAAAGACGACGCAGTGAACAAAGAGCGACAACGGTTTTCTTACTTACCTCATTCAGTTGGCGTATCCAATTTAAGGAATTATCAATATAAATACCAATGTTTTTGACATTGTCAAAGTAAGGGTTTACTACTCCATCGAATACTATAGGTGGTACGGTGAACCAGTCAACTCTTGAGATAAAACTCTGGCTACCAATAATGATAGCCTGTGACTTTTTAGGGTTCCCATTTAGGCCATATGATTTACTCCAATCATGAATAATATTTAGATCGTTATTCAATGTAGCGATTGCATTCGGCAAATACTCAAGAGTTGACTGTGTGTAAATCTGGACATCATGCGCATACATGTGGTAGAGAGAAGATATTTTATGAGTAATTGAATTAATGAAAATGGAAAAGAGTAAAGGTGACAACACGCCGCTGTGCGGCATGCCTGCAGTATTATCACACCAAGATGAGTGAGTTTCATCGAAACGAATACACTGCCGACGGCTACAGAGATAACTTTGAAACCAGTTAATTACTGATGGAGATATGTTAAGGGAACACAACAGACTCAACAGTATATCATAGTCAACAGTATTGAACGCATTACTGAAATCCAGCAAGATCATGACTGTGAATAGTTTATTATCCATACCCCACCGTATGCCATCAGTAACTTTGATTAAGGCAGTAGCCGTACTATGACCAGGACGGAAACCGGATTGTAAAGAATTTAATAAATTGTGCTTATTGAGGAAAAGGGTCAGCTGTTGGCAAATTCGCTTTTCAAGGACTTTAGAAAGGAAAGGTAAGTTCGAGATGGGACGAAAATCAGAGAGGTTGACAGGATTAGATCTCTTCGGAAGGGGTATAACATGAGCACTCTTCCAGGCTTGGGGGAATTTAGAGGAAGAGGCAGATGCATTAAGTAAATGAATTATAATGGGAGTGATAACATCAAGGAGAGAAATAATCATATTACTAATGTTGTCGCTACCGACAGCATTTGAGGAGATGGATAATATGATCTTCTTAACATCACTTACAGTAAACTGACTAAATACGAACGGAGGTTAATTAGGAGTCGGAGTTACAGAAAGACAGCGAAGTGTTTGCGGTTTATGTACACTGTCAATAGAGTTAGAAGGATTAGAAAAATGTTGATTTAATAGTTCAAAATCAACACTAGGATGTGAAGCATTTAGAGATGTTCTACCAACTCCAACTGTTTTAAGAAACTTCCACACCCTAGATGAGTCGCCGTTCTCGACTTATGTATGAATATGGCGTCGTTGTGCATCTCTACATAATGTGTTGCAGCGATTCTTGATTTTGGCGTATTTCCTTAAGTTTTCATCTGTTTTATTCCTCTTAAGCTTTGACAATGCCGCATTCTTCTTTAAAATAAGCCTTTTCAGATCATCTTAGAGCCATGGAGCAGGCAGGTGTTTGAGTCTCACATAATGTATTGGCGCATGAACGTCGTAAAGCTGCGTGAGTAGGGAACAAAAAAGTTATGTAATAGGTACAAATTTGTTTCCAACTTGTTGCTGAAAACAGTGTTAGAAAATATCTAAAACTCAAAGAACTTGTCGGATCTGGCAACCGGTAACTAACAACCAGTAACATGTTTTCGCATCAAGCAAGCAGTACATGTATTTACAGCATCGGTTTGCACCACAAAATCGGTGTTTTAGCTAGTTGGTATAACGGAGTTTAGCTACAAATTCCCACGCAAATTTTGACGGTCTCTTCTGTTTAACTGCAAGCTCGATAGAGCATGGTCGTTAGCCTTCTCTGGTGGTATCGATTAATTTGTGTTGCAGCCATAATGCGTGTCTCTGCCATGAAATATACATATTATTTAATATAACTTACCATTGTTGTTCATTAGTGTATCTTTATTGCTTTCATACATAAAACACTTTTATATTTGTTTAAGGACGTAGTTACATTTTTGACGTGCTCAAATTTAGATATTCGAATTGCAAGCTGACTTACGCATGCTCACATTGAAACAGTTTTCCGCTATAATTTACATATTATTATACCTAACTAAACTTGATACTTGCTCAGACCAACAAAGGAAGAAAGACGCAGGGCTGCGTACATTTTAAGTGATGCTCAACTTCTTGACACGCACTCTCGCATATTTTTTCTTTTTTCTTTATCAGCCCGCAAAAGTTTACTGGTGGATGCAAACATGGACGCACCTAAATCCATGTTAATGGTTGTAGATGATTTTAAATGCATACATGTACCAAACTTTTAAATAAATGCTCTTAATTTTTATTTTTATTTTACTTGCTAAAATAGTTTGGTTTTATTTCCCATTACATCGGAATCATAATTTCTCTCACTATAAAATAAATATTGCCGGCCATCAAAAATAATAATAAAATATTTTACTTTATAAAGTACGAAGACTTGTCGATTACACTATAATAGTGCACTATCCTCGTATGCAAGGCAAACGTTAGGTAGAGCACCGAGCGACGTGACCTCTGTCTGGGAAGCCTAGCGGCTGTAATAACTGTGTAATTTTAATTGATTCAAATGCGGAGTTTTATTGTGGTTTTATAGAAATATTAAAACATTCATAGAAAACTAATCAAGCTATTTAATTTTTAATTTTAACTGGACTGTGTGTTCGTTTGTCACCCTATCCTATATAAAAAAAAATAATATAAAAAATAATTTATAACTATTTAGAAAATAAAATTTCCTTAAGTTATGAGTAATTAACATTTGTGTAAGATAAGCGGTAGGTGGATATTAATATGTTTGAAAAGAACTGTTTTGAGCTAATCAGCACTTGGAATATATATATACGTCCTTAAGGTATAAAAAAATTCACTTAGCAAAATTTGTAAAGAATGAATATTGGTATTCCTTGATAATATTTTATTGGAAATCGTGATTGTCTATCTATATATGTGATTATATATCTTTCTATATTTTTTTCTTCCAACAGCATTTGGGAAGAGATTATAAAATGAAGTTCAAGTATGTTTTCGTCTTGGTTTACATAAACTTTACATCACAGACACACAGTTGTGCTTGCGAGCCGAAAAAAGGAACCTCGCGCCCAAACATTGTCTTTATTATCGCTGACGACATGGTATGATACTTTCATTATTATTGTTTATTTTTTGCCGCTTAGAATGAATATGCTGCAAACTTGCCAACCATCTTTAAGAATTTTTGGCTTTAGTAGACCTTAGACGCATATTTTCTTATAACAGAAAATCTAGATATTTTATATGTTTTAGGGATGGAATGATGTAAGCTTTCATGGATATGATCAAATATTGACTCCCAACATTGACCTACTCGCCTACTCTGGTGTAGTATTCGAAAGGTATTATAGCCACTGCATATGCACGCCTACGCGCTCAGCGTTGCTTACTGGAAAATTTGCTCATGTCACAGGTACAGTGTGATTATTACTTTGTCTCACTACAACTACTAGCGTTAAGAAACACGACATGAAGAGAACCCATCACTTCGGCGATGGTGTTGTAAATGTCCGATAAATCTCATGAGCTCTAATAAATATTTGTATAACCAACTCGTGTAATGTATTAAATGTAAAATACTCAGTCTACACGCCTTAAAATTTAGACGAACGTTATAAAATAGAGCTGCGATAAATATATTCAAAATGCCGATCGCAAATTAACTAAATTATAGTTGATGATGTAATGCCTCTATGAGGATGGCAAAATCAAACAGTGGATTCAAAAGTCTTGTACAACTTATTTTGTGTATATAATTTAGAAAAAAATATTTATCATCATTACATCCCTTCACAAGTCCACTGCTGAACAAAGGCCTCCTCCAAGGAATGCCACAAAGCACGGTCCTGAGCCACCTGCATCTATCGACTTCCTGCATGTCTTACCAGGTCGTCACGCCATCTAGTGGGGGGACGCCCTACACTTCATCCACCAGTACGAGGCCGCCACTCGAGAACCTTTTTTCCCCATCGGTTGTCGATTTTTCGAGCTATATAACCGATCCATTGCCTTTTTTCAGCTTACTAATCCGTTGGGCTATGCCGGTAACTCTAGTTCTACTGTGGATATCCTCAATTCTAAATTTATCACGCAGAGAAACTCCGAGCATAGCCCTATCCATAGCTCGCTGAGCGACCTTGAGCTTCCTCATCCGGCCAGCAATGAAGAAATCTCAGTTCCATAGGTGATCACTGGCAACACGCACTGATTGTACAGTCTCGTTTTGTCAAGTTTTGAGGTATACCTGACGAGAAGATGTCCCGTAATTTCCCGAACGCTGCCCAGCCGTGTTGAATCATTCGATTTACCTCTTGGTCGAAGTTGGACTTACCTAGGACTACTTGTCCCAGGTAAAAATACTCGTCAACAACTTAGTGCTCCCAACAATTACTGGTGTAACAGGGACGTTATACATGATCTTTGTTTTGTCCATGTTCATCTTAAGACCTATCCGTTCGGAGACACTATTGAGGTCATTGAGCCTAGTGCTTAGGTCCTCCAGCGATTCTGCCGTAAGGACTATATCGTAGGCAAATCGAAGGTGATTATTGTAGTCGCCGTTGATATAAATATCGTGTCCTTTCCAGTCCAGAAGCTTGAAAACGTCTTCCAATGCAGCGGTGAAGAGTTTCGGGAATATAACGTCACCCTGTCTTACACCTCCCTGCAGTTGGATAGGTTTCGTACTCTGGTTCTGTACTCGGATAGCCATCGTATCCCTACTGTACAAATACTTCAGCACTTCGATATACCGACGATCAACTTGGCACTGCTGAAGGGACTAAAGCACCGCCCAAATTTCAAGGGAATCAAAGGCTCTCTCATAGTTCTCATACGCCAGACATAGTGGCAAATTGTACTCCTCGGACTTCTGTACAATTTACCGAAGGGTATGTATGCGGTCTATGGTGATAAAGCCTTTTCGGAAAGCGGCTTATTCGGGAGGCTGGTTATCGTCGAGTCTGCATGCGAGACAATTCGTAATGACTCTCGAAAACAGCACGTAGACGTGGCTCAAAAGGGTATTCGGTCTGTAGTTCTGCAAGAGAGCATTATCGCCTTTCTTCAAGAATAAGATCATCGCACGTCTGCTCCATGCCTCCGGTGTAGTGCCACCAAGGAGGATGTAATTAAAGAGCTACTGAAGGACTTCAAGTACCGGTTTTCCACCCGCTTTCAGCTCCGCTGTAATTCCATCCTCGCCGGTGGCTTTGCCGTTTTTAAGGTGCTGGAGAGCCATTCCAATCTCGCTCAGACTGACGTCTGGATAATTATCGGAATAGTGTCGGATAATACTTGCACCTGGATCGTTACTTGCACTTGCGTGTGGCTCCAACGAAGACGTGTACAGCTGCCCATAGAACCTCTAAATCTAACTCAAAATCTCAGGTGTCTCGGAAACGACGCTGCCACGCTCGGTCTTCAGCTTCGACAGTTGGCTCTTTCTGGCAAACAGATTTCTAGCAAAGGCTTTGGAGCCCTGGTTCCGCTTGATCGTTTCTTCAACACGAGCAGTATTAAAGTTGCGCGATCACCGAGACATCACTGAATAGTTGTCGTCTGGTCGTCATAATGAATTTAATCTCATTTTTCTCGAACCGTCGGGGCACTACCAGGTCCTCTTCCTGTGGAGCCGCTTCTGGAAGAAAGAGTTCATCATAAAGCGTACCTCTTTCTCCGTGAAGTCGGCTAGCTGCTGGCCCCTTTGGAATACGTTGCCTTATTCCAAATTTCCCTACCTTCACCTCACCAGTCTCTTTTGTGCCTAGTTTTGCGTTGAAGTCTCCCATTAACAACGTATAGTGGGTTTCGGAGCAATGCATGGCATGCATATCCTCATAGATTTCTTTCACCTCCTTACCGGAATGTGCCAAGTTTGGTGAGTGAAACCTGTATGGCCTTCAGTGACACTGAGTATAAGGTACGCAACCCTCGTCGACGACACACTCTTAATCTTTACAATGCTCTTAACGAGAGACAACATATGGACTATAAATCCGACACCTCCTTGGAAAAGATGGCCCCCCTTCCGGTGGTAGAAAGAGTTGCCGGACTCGAGGATGTCCTCCCCCTATCTTCGGACCTCAGATAATCCAATAAAATGCCAGGGCAACTTATCTATCTCTTCTTCCAGCTCCCAGATCTTCTCGTCAGTCCTCAGGTTGCGTGCGTTATATGTTGCCAGGTCGAGTCGTCTTAGGTGGCAACCGAACCTCCACCGGAGATTCTTAGCACCCTCTGTCCCGCCGGTTTCATGGTCGCCACCGTAGCCAGGAATAGCGGGGCCACCGAAGACTAGGGGCCTTCTCTTCGTTACTTTAATCATTGGTGGTATATTGCCATAGTTACCAGGCGTAGCGAGCGGTTTGGCAACCGCAGTTTTTAATTGTTGTTTTGTTGTTATTAGAAAGATGCTGCTGCTTATCTTTTGCTTTAGTTTCCTTCTGTCGCCTCTTACGACACCCACGGGAATATATGGGGTAGTGGATATTCCTACCCGCCACTATGCGGGGATATTTAATACTTTAAAATTCGATAATTCGTTACAGGAATGCAGGGCTTACCTCTACTTAACAGTGAAGATAGAGGTTTGCCACTGACAGAGAAAGTTTTACCACAATATTTCAAAGAGCTAGGTTACGCAACTCATTTAGTGGGCAAATGGTATGTAGGCCAATCTCGAACTAAATTTTTGCCCACTTCACGCGGTTTCGACAGCCACTTCGGACATAGGGGCGGGTTTATTGATTACTATGAATATGAGTTACAAGAAGACGTAAGATTTTTTAATTTTTTAATTATATTTGTTTCATATATTACGCACATAATTAATACTAACAATAACATATTTTATACTAGCAATGCTGTGAATACTACTAATGAACCCATTAACCATTCTACCTTTGTACAATGCTTGTGCTAGAAGTGGTACACGATAGTAGTGAAGCGATGGATTTGAACATAAAGTAATACATTTATATTGTAAATCAATAACCACAATGTAATATACTTCAACATAAGTTTTCAATATAGTATTAACATATACATGTTTCCATAATCATATAATAGGGATTTTTAAAGACCCTAACATAATTTAATAGTACTTTATTAGAAAAAGCTTCGCATACATCTCTGCCCACAAGTATTCATCGTATAATGTAATATGTGTATTACCTTAATTAATCAACTCTTAAATATATTTTGTGTTAAAAGTTCTTAATTAAATAACGAATTTAATGTTATTGACATTTTTCATAGCAGTAGGAATGTGTTTAAGAAGGCGCACAAATATAAACACACGCACGCGCGTACACGGACACACAGATCTGAGAGAGAGACGCACCGTTTTTAATTTATAATTCTATAATAGTACGTTTTTGTGGTTCAAAATTATTGATTGTCGGTCGATTAATATAAGTTAAAAAATGTAAAAAAAGTAGATCTGTTATTGGCTGTAAGTTTTAAATCTTAAGTTCATTTGTAATTAGTGCTGTGGATCTTGTAATAAATAAATAAAATTAAATTAAAAAATAAAACAATATGCTTATGCGTGAAATTGCGATTTGGGAGATTTTGACAACAGTTCAACCTAATGGAAAGTCGATGAAAAATTAAGGTTTATATACCATCGGAGCAATTATTTTGTCAACATACATTACAATACATAATACTTATTGAAAGTCATTTTTTACTTTTACCACTGGTTCGCAAAATACCTCTGTCCTGGGAAGAACCAGCAAGATACCCAGCAGGACTAATTTTTAAAAAGCACAATTTACAATATAATATTTTATGCAATTGTTTTGAAAACATTTAGAAACAGCATGGTAGTGATCACCTCCATCCAAGGGGTTATTATCTGTAGCATAATAACAATTTTTGCTTAATAAATAATATAAGCCTTTTGATAACAAAGGTCTGCATATTTTCTGGGACTTTGTTGTAAAAACGTATACATTGCCCTATGAAGTAGTTACTGACTTTTTGGAGTTGAGTAACAGGTATAACTAACTTGTGCTTGTTCTTAGTATTTACAGAATGTACGTCACTATTTTTAATAAAACTATTTTTTTATGAGGCCAAAGTTCATATATTTATTTCTTTAAATTTTTTTCTAAGGGATTCTTTCGGATCTAGGTTATAAATTGCACTTATGGCTCTCTGTTGAAAAACAAAGATAGTTTCAATGTCAGTCGCATTACCCCATAGCAAGATTCCATATGACATTATGCTATGGAAAGATATATGTGGGCCGCATTGAAGCTTCGCATCAACTGTAATACCGAAAAAAACATTGGATTCAACAAGACCCAGCTCCTCCCCATTTAAAGGCACATCGATATTCACCTGTTTAACATTATATATATATATATATATATATATATATATATATATATATATATATATATATATATATACATATATTGTTAGTTTATGAAAAATTTGATTCATGCCATTTTTCGTGGTAGAGTCATGCTGTAGATTATTATAGTTGTAGCAGAATGGGTCGGCTCGACTGGGTAAGGACCATGCCTCTGTTTATCGTATGATGAGTATAAAGAACAGGAGACGCTTTTTATTGGAAACGAGGCATTCCATCGGGAATTTCTCAGGGATAACAACGCACCTGCATTATTATTCTTAATCGAAGATAAATGTAGATGTTTGGCCACAGAATCCACTTACCATCAGATGAACCGTGTGCTCATTTGTAACCCTTATTCTATAAAAGAATACAGATGAATTACAAATTATCTGTTAACTGTTAACGGAAAATAACTAATAGGTTTCTCTAAAGCAAATTGTCATGTCAATCATATACGACCAACCTTCACAATAACAAATATTGTAATCCATATCCCAAGTCCCTCGTTCTTTTCGAATTCTGGTCAATGCAACGTTTCGTTACTTTGATAAATTTCTTGTCGTAAGATATGGTGTTATGAAACCTACAATCAATAAAGATGTAATTCATCAAAATACTATTTTCATAAAGTTGGTCGCCGAACGAGTCATGTGACATTATAAACATTTTAAAAAAAATTTTTGAATATCACTGATCTAATATGATATTTTTGTGTATATTATTTGCAGTGGAATTCTACAATCAGATCTGGTTTTGACTTATTTAGGAATTTGAATCCCGTTTGGAATACTGAAAAGGGATATATTACTGACCTCTATAACAATGAAGCTAAATCAAGTGAGATGTTATATTTTTAAACAATAAATATAAACATTTTAATTTTTTTTAAATATTGTTTTATCATCATTTACGATACAACATTTAAAAATAATATTACCATACCATGGTAACATTGAGTCAATAATTATTAATTTAGTTTGCATTTTAATACTATGTACCTAATAGGTACCTTTATTAATTAATTGTCTTTTAGTAATACTTTCCCATGATGAGTCGAAGCCGTTATTTTTGATGGTAAACCATAATGCACCCCACTCTGCAAATAATGGTGCTCTACTTCAAGCGCCCCCCGATGAAGTTCGAGCTATGCGTCACGTGGAAAACCCGGAGCGAAAGATATTTGCAGGTATAATTATAACATATCTACATAACGTTTACAAATAATTACTGATTTTTGAGTTTATAAGTGAAAACCAATTAATTCCTTCAAATGACAACAAGGCACTGGTGACTGAAAGATGTTGGAAAATCCATCTATAAATTCACAGACTAGCGATGAGCAACATTTCCAGTGCTGACCAACTCACTTTCCCGTTTAAAAAATCAAGGCTTTTTCTTAAAAAGCGTTGGGTTTTGGCATTGGGTTCAAAAGACTCATTAAAATGATGAAAAATTAACAGATTAAACCATAACAACAACATTATTATAATTTATTGAGATGGTAAAGAAGCTATATTTTTGATTATTTTAATTTTGTTTTTATTTGTTTCATTGTTTTTTATGTTTTATTCTGAAGTTAATTTTATGATATCTGTTTCAGCTTCTGTGAAAAAGCTTGACGATAGTGTTGGCGATATTGTGCAAACGTTGCTGAAGAAAGGAATTCTGCATAATACTATCATTGCATTTATATCAGATAATGGTGCAATGACATCGGGATTACATTTGAATTACGGATCTAATTGGCCTTTACGTGGCATTAAAATGTCCCCTTATGAAGGAGGTGTTCGTGTTAATGGACTTGTTTGGTCTCAGACCTTAACAAATAATAATCATGCATGGGGTGGTTACATGCATGTTGTAGATTGGTTGCCTACTTTATTAAGAGCAGCTGGTGCCAAACCACCGCCTAATATTGATGGAATTGATCTTTGGAATGACATAGTACATAACAGAACATCACAAAGATCTGAATTTTTTGAAATCAATGACTATACCGGATATGCATCTATCGTTTCCGGAGATTTTAAACTAGTGACTGGATACGTCAATCCTGAGTATAGTACATATCAAGGAGGTGACTTAAGGGGTACAATTGGTCCTAAGCCTTCATACTTCAAGTCACTTGTGAAAAGTAAAATGTACTCAGTGCTTTATAATGTTGCAAAACAATTTAATATTAAACATGTAAGTTTGAGAAACAAGCTGCGAATTGATTGTAAAGTAAAAAATGATAGCCAAGATGGAACACTTTGTTATTCCGACAAAAGTAAGTCTAGGTGCAAATAATAGTTTGTATCTTTTAAAATATTTGTACTCGATGTCTATGAAATTTTTCGTCATAGTTTTTGTACACAAAAGTTTTTATCCAACATTAGCACCAGTATTTTGTGTAGAATTTTTAACGGATGTTGATGATAATCCAGATACATTAAATGTGTCCACATATGAGGAATAAACTTTATATTTTAAAAAATTGCGTGAGCAAATATTACACTTCATCATTTTTTTCTATGCGAGAAATTCTTGCTCACAAGAGAAAACTTTAATTAAATAAATATCTTACCTCTGGCCTCTAATTCTCATCTCATTTGCGAAAATTTAATACCAACACAATTGTGTAATTGGTTTAAATTGATTTTATTTTCAGATAAAATGTGTTTATTTAATATCAAAGAAGATCCCTGTGAAATGCAAGATTTGGCAGAAAATTATCCAGATGTGGTACAAAAGATGTTGGACAGACTGAAAATTGAAATAAATCGAACAATTCCACGACAAGTCCCAGCTGTTTCTGATCCTCGAGCGGCACCGCGCTTACATAATTTTGCGTGGGACGTATGGGCAGATAATGTGTCTTAGAATATTACTTGCTTTTACGTTTACATTATAAATATTATTAATTTTTATTTATTTTTAAAACGCCTCATATTATTTGTAACAATCAATTTTTTTATTATTAACTGTTATAAGCAATGTTATCTAAACAATATATCGACGTGGTAAAGCATTTATGTAGTATATAGACAAATGGTAATAATGCATCCAAATAATATAAATAAACATATTACAAAAAATAGTGATTGTGTCGCCATTTTAGAACATAAGGTTTGTAATTACATATTATACTTTGCGGTTAAAACTTCTTATCCAAAGTTACTAAATGTAGTATGAGATAGGACTCCGAAACCGTAAAGGTTTTCAAATCACTGACCTAAAAACGATGTAATTTCTTATTATTATTATTTATCTGGATACCACGAATTAAAATATAATCTTTAATAATAATTACGTTTAGATCTGTAAATGCAGTGAGTCAGTTAATAACAACATGTGAGGATGTAACAAAATAAAAAATATTATAAAAAATAACTATAAATATAAATTTATTTTACGAATGGATCTATTCAAACTATATAGTCTCGTTTTTTTATTTATAAATATTAAAACTAATATAAGAAAACAAAAACAAATGTGACAAGTTACCAATGGATCAATTATTTAAAGAAGTATATTATACATTTTAACTACTAGTCTTCTTATGTCGAACCATTGAAAAATATAAGTAAACATATTTAATTGACTCTAGTTTTAAAATGAAAACGAAACAAAATAATGTAAAAACACGACAATAATAATCATGCTATAAAAAATATGTATAGGAAAGTAAACATTTTAATTATGGGCACATTAGGATTGTAATTGATATTGCATTATATATTGATATGACAATGATATGACTAACGATGATGACCTTTCTGTCTTTTAAATATTGTACAATTATTAATATTTTATTGTTTCAATTGGCTTTATTACTGTTTTTATTTCTTGACACGGACTGCTCAAACTAATTGTAAAATATAGTATTTTACAATTATTTAATTTATGATTATTAATATTTAATTATTAATTTATAAATTATAATTATTAATTTTTGTTGTTATGAAAGAATGCAATTTTTAATTTTTTCTTTTTGCATGTAAAATTTAACCTTCTGTGCCTATTGAATTTTTTGTAAGTTACAAGAGTTTTTGAATATAAAAATAAACAAAAAAAAAGATAAGTTCTTAAAAATTATTAAGTCAAATGAGTTTTTAAAAAGACAGTATAACAAATTTCTGTAATTAAACTAGTCTTGAAAATCATAAGCGTAATAATTAGTAACCTTGAGTTTTCAATACAGATGTATGTGAAGTCAAAAATGCAATTTTTACGATCATGCGATATACAAACAGCAATGAATACTTACGAAGAAAAATGAAGTACATGCATTTTCAAAAGCAACCTCTGGATATTCGATGTTATCTTTTATCATCGTGTAAGTTTTTTTTATAGAATGGAAGTGACAAACGAGCGTACAGTGCACTTAATGGTAAGTAGATGCTATGGTCCATAGATGTCTTCTACATTTATCCTCGATTAAGAATCAAAATGCATATGCGTTGTTACCCCTGAAGATTAAAATGGAATGGCTCGTTTCCAGTATAAAGGGTCTCTGGTTCTCTACACACACCATACGAAATATAGCAGCATTAAGTTGCTATTTTACGCTGGTATTCTGTGAGAGCGTAGTTCTGCTTTGGTCGGACCGACCGATTCGTGTTACAACCATAATATAGCTGCAGCGTGGCTCTACTACGTGTGTTCGTAAGCGAGGCAAGCAAATACTTTTAATTATTAATAAAAATTATGTAAGTTTTACGACAGCCAATAGTTGCTCAAGCTAAAAACAGTTGTTCGTCTGCTGAGTTTGTATGTTAAAAGATAAATTGAATCAAATACAATACAGCTGATGGAGTGGATGCTGTAGTCCACGAACCTCTACATTTATCCTCAATTAAGAATCAGAATACAGATGCGTTGTCACCCCCGAGGACTGCGATGAAATGTCTTGTTTCCAGTAAAAAAGGTCCCCGGTTCTCAAACTGCTGCATAACTAAATTATATTGTTAAGCATAATCTTAATCTATAATATATACTTAGTGTACGGGGACCATTGATGGCTCATACTATTGTTAGCGACACTCTCTGTGTTTCACTTTGATGTCAATATCTTAATCAATATTATTCTAAGACACGTAACTTCGTGAAATTAGTTTAATTTTAAACATATCACTATGTCCCACATTTGATTCATTAAGTAGAGCCACCCTTAAGCTATGTGGTATCCTTAGGCGCGACCCTTTGAACTGACTTTCTAGTCATCTTGAATGGTTAATTAGACTTCTGACTATCCTATCCTTTACAGACTATTTTATTCATAGTCTTTTAAGGATTAACGATTAAGTGTCTTCATATTTTTTAATTTATTGTGCTTGTTGCGTATGATGCTAATTAAGTACACTTATGAAAATTTTGTAATCTGGATCAAGTCTGCCTTGGAATTATCTTATGTATTCAATACTATAATCAAATCCCATAAAACGTGTGCGTAATGAAAAATTCTGATTGTGTTTATAGCTGGTAAGATTTTATTTGCATGAAATATGGAAGTGAGAGATTTATATTTAGGGTAAACTTTCGCATAAAGCAGTAGTACAAAAAATCTTTAAGCTCTAGTACATATCTCCAGTAGCTTTGTTATTAATTGGACTTTATATGATTTCGCTGTTACTAAAATTTAAAATGCGTAAGTAATTGGTTTTTCTGTACCGTCGTATAAACGATATAGGTTTCCAAAATTGGTTTGGGGCAGTATCATACTGCGATGCATGGTTGCACCTTTTTTTATTTCTTTCTTTTATAGAACAGGAGGCAAACGAGCATGTGGCTCACCCGGTAGCCTGGCCCTGTGAAAAACCGATTGACTCATATGTCAACAAGTAACTGAATATGCAAATATACGCTGCCAGAAGACGTAATTACTGGGTGTATTTATGGTTACGCGAGCTTACAGTGTCTGAAAAGGATGCTTCCAAGCAAAGTAAAGGAAAAAAATGAGCCTAAAAGCGGCCCTTGGCTCAGGTAGAATAGAAGCTAGTAAGATGAAGAATATTATACTCCTTTTTTTCTTATATCTTATGTCTCCTTTTCGAAATCGGTAGAAAAGTATTTCTTAACGTTAAATTGTTGATTTTTACTTTAAAATAAATAAATATATTGCCACAAGACTATTACAGTTACTGTTTTTCATTAACATGCATTACCTAACTGATGTATAAAAAATATACCAGATTTCAGTATACAAAAAAATTAACATGTCTAAATAAGTTTCGGTTTCGGTTTTGACCGAAATTGACACCCAGACCGAAGGTTCATTGTTTTCGGTTTCGGTTGAAAATCCTGTTCCGGTCTAGGGATGCCCGATCTGAATTGATTTTCGGGAAGATCGATTCACGGACATACGATTTGCCGATTTTTAAATCGATTCAAGGGAATGCGATCTTCACCCAAATCGATTAGTATGGCTATAAGATCGTATTAAGAAATCGTATCAACTAAAACCTAAACATCAACCGAACCGTTCTAACGTATGATATTTGCATACCTATCATATTGCCGGGGAGGGGACAGAATTACTAAAACATGGTAAGAACTTTGTTTTAGTTATTCTGTCTCCTCCCTCTTAGTACATAATAGTGAAATTAAAACTTTGTTTACAAGATTTACAACTAAGTAGATTACGATCATATTTCTGTTAGGAATCGTATTTCGGGTTTATTTGTTGCTTTTTTTTATTGCTTTACCATTTCACAATGTATTTTTTTTACTCTTTATTAACAGCACTTAGCAACCATGGAAAGTCCGTTGTGACTTATTAAGGAGAAAAGATGCAAAGTAATACGGACTCTCGCGCGCAGCGATAAACTTTTATTTAGCTTGCGTGCGCGATTTATCTGATTAATAATAACTATGTAGGCTAAAGAAGAGATGCATGGTAGAATAATGAAGTGAAAGAAGCTGTAAAGAAAAAGAAGAAAGCATGGTTAGACTACTTGACCTCTAGTAATAATAAGGATATGAGAGAGAAGATGAAAGAAAGATATAAGCTGCAGAAAGTTCACACGAAAGCATTGATTGAGGAAGTGCGTGAAATGTGTAGAATGAAAGCTGACGAAAGGTTGTCGCACAACTTTAAGGAGAACTCCAAACTTTTCTGGAAAGAGGTTGGAAGGACCCGAAGTGGTGCGAAGGCCTTAAAAATGAACAAAGTGCTTTCGAGAACCAATGACGTCCTCTCAGAAAAATCGGACGTCATGCAGCGATGAAGCGAATTTTATAGAGAAATATATGCGTGTGATGATCTTAGTGGGGGATCCGGGGATGACGCCGTGACTGGTACGCCAGACCCGGACCTCGATGACACTGAGGTCATCAGTATGAAAGAGATTGAACGTGCGATTCGAAGTTTGAAATGTGGTAAGGCTGCGGGACTAGACAGAGTTACTGCTGAAATGGTCAAGTATGGTGGGCCTCGCGTCTGGGACAGCTTTCATCTGCTGTGCAATTTCTGTTGGCGGACGGGGGATGTCCCGGATGATTGGCGATCCGCAGTCATTGTGCCTTTATATAAAGGTAAAGGTTCACATTTTGACTGCGGGTGCTATCGGGCGATCAGCTTGACCAGCTTAGCAAGTAAAGTTTACTCGAAGGTTTTGACACGTAGGATGCAAGAGAAATCGGAAAGATTTCAATGGGAGGCACAATGCGGATTTAGACCTGGAAGAGGATGCACGGATCAAATGTTTTCTCTCCGCATGATCACGGAGAAGCTTGTGACTGCTAACCAGAAGATTTTCTGTGCTTTTGTGGATCTTGAGAAAGCATTTGATAAGGTTGTAACGAAGATAATGTGGGAACTGTTGCCGGGGTATGGTATGGATGGTCGATTGCTAAGGGCTGTGCAGTCACTTTACTATGAC